AATATGCAAAAAATAATAATTTAAGAAAAAATTTATCAAATATAGTTAAGAATAAATGGATTATTAAATTATTACAATTATATAATATTATTAGTGGACTTGATGAAATACATCAAAAGAATCTTATTCATTGTGATTTGCATTATGATAATATTTTATATATTAAGAATAAGACTTTATCTATTAGCGTTAATTTTCTATACTTAAGTTTCTTTGCTAGTTTTTATATTTATTAAATATAAAATGAAATATTTGGAGGCTAATCTAAGAAAATCAAATTTTGAATTTAATAAATTATTAAGATCAAACTTTAATTTTCTTAGATCAGCTCCTATTTGTTTAAAAAAAGATGATATATTATTATAACATATTCCTTACTATTAAGTAAAAGTTGAAGTGGTTCTAACATTGGTATAAATGATTCAATTTCTTTTAGAATAATAGATTGTAATATTGATATATGCAAATATGCTAATACTTTTCTAATAAATAGCTATTTAGGTCAATCTGTAATAATTAAAACAGCTTGATTTTTCAAATATTTTGTTTTTTTTACTAGCTAAAATTATTTATAATACATTTAAATAATCCTACATTAAATGTAAGTATTATTTATTAAAACAAACTAATTAAAGTTCACTTATTGATCTTTCATTCTTTTTTTCTGTAATAAAATCATTATAACTATAAAATATTAAAAGTTCAATGCAATTAAAAGTATTAATATTTCTATATTTTTATGAAATTCAAAATACCTGATGCTCTGTATATATAATATCAAAAATTTCAGTATATTTATTGAGCAAATACTAATAAATTCTTAATACTTTAACATTATTTGTATTGTGAATAGAAATTTCATTAAATACTATTAGTATTGCAAGACATTTTATAATTGGTTTTACTATATAAATAGTAAAATATTTTACTATTGATATTGATACTATATCTGACTTTTACTTTTATAAATATTATGATAGTCATTCTAAATTATAAATATATAAGTGATTTTCCTATTATAAAAAAATTTTTATTATTATAATATACAAATAATAAAAATAAATTAAAACTTACTTTTTTTAAAAAATGATGCTCAATTTTAATTATATGATTCATTTGAATTTTTTTTGAAAGTTTGTAACTGTTTTAACACATACTGAATATTCAATATTTAATAATATATTGATTGCTTTTTATATAGCATCTGATACTATTAAATACAATCCAACCTTTATTTTGAATTGGTTAACAAATTTGTTATGCATATCAGCAGTCATATAACATAAAGTAAAAATAGATTTTTTTGCTTTTTGTTTATTATGTGTTAATTGATCCTTAGAAATAATTGCATTTACTATTGAAAGGAAGAATTCTGTTAGTTTAGGATTAACTTTTTAATCATATATTAAAATTGTATTAGATCTAATTTCAAATTAGCAGATTCTCAATGATGTTTATTATACAATATATTCATTAATATTTTTACAATTAATACAAATGTAGAATCATTTATTAAAGCTAAATAGATAAAATAAAATTAAATTAAAGTTAAATATTAATAAGAAAGTTTTGTAATATATTTATAGTCAATATCAATTATATTACCTTTCATTTTAATTTTTTTAATTACCGTATCCTTCCGATTTTAAGTACCACTTTTTTGAGGGAAAACTTTCACTAAAGTTTGGGATAGTGCTTAAATTCAGAAGTTTTTTTTAATTTTTTTTTATGTTTCGAAAAAATTTTGTACTACATAAATTTATATAAATTCAATTTTACCCCTATTTTATATACATTTTTTTCACAATCAATGCCAAAAATTCAAAGATCATCATATTCTGCTAGTGAAAAGCTTGAGATTTTGCAATATACAAAAATTCATAGTCAAAGAACAGCTACACGTCATTTTTCTATTGATCATTCAATAATTTCATGTTGAAAAAAACAGGGAGATAAACTCAAGTCAGCAAAAGGAAAAAATTGATGTATTGACGCAGGAAGAAAAGTACAATATCCCGAAGCTGAAACTAGTTTAAAACATAACTTATAAAATTTCAAAAAGATGGTATTGCAGTAACTTCTAAAATGGTTAAAATTTATATGAAAGAAATTTTAATAAAAGAGTTTGCTTATGTTTATCCAAATAGTGAAAATTTTCTTGCTTCAGAACGTTAGTTTTATGGTTTTCTTAAAAGAAATGGATTTTCTCTACGACGTAAAACAAAAATCAGCCAAAAACTTCCTACTCACCTTAATGACAAATTTTTGGAGTTTTAGTAGTTTATTATTAAAAAATGAAAACAATTTGAATATGAACTTTGTGAAATTGGAAACATAGATGAAACTCCTATTTATTTTGATATGGTTGGAAACTTAACTATAGAAAATTGTGATGCTAAAACTGTGCAAAATTGAACAACTGAGAATGAAAAAAATCGGTTTACATATGTTCTTACAGTTCTTGCAGATGATACAAAATTACCACCAATTGTCATTTTTAAAGGTAAGCAAATACCAAAGAATTTACCTTCTGGAATTATTGTATTGATGCATCCAAAAGGATGGATGGATAAATCTGGAATGAAAACCTGGTTTGATAAAGTTTAGAGAAAAAGGTTGGGAGGAAATAGAATCAATAAACAAAGATCCCTTCTTGTTATGGATAGTTTTGAAGGTCATAAAACGGATGCTATAAAAAAAATTGCATTCGATGAAAATACTGGTTTGGCAATCATTCCTGGTGGTCTCACTTCTATTGTTTAACTGCTTGATGTTTATCTTAATAAGCCATTTAAAGATAGATTTCGTAAAAAGTGGAACATTTGGATGAGTTCAGGTCAATTTTCTTATACTAAAGGTGGGAATTTAAAAAAGCCTGAATATAATATTATTTGCAAATGGATACTTGAGGCATGGATAGAAATTCCAAAGGAAATGATTGTAAAGTCATTTAAAAATGCAGCATTAGTAACGCAATAGATGGATCAGAAGATGATTTATTTGGGCAAAATGAAAAAGAGAAGGAAATTGATGAAAATGAAAGAGAAGTTATAGATATAGATAGTGATTCAGCTGATGAATTAGATGAATTAGAAGATGATGATGAATTGTAAAATAAAATTTTATTTTGAAATAAAATATGAAATATAATAAAATTTTTTCAAATTTGGGTGGTGTTTATTTTTGTTTTTCAAGTTTTTGTGCTGAAAGTTGGGGTGGTGCTTAAAATCGGAAGGATACAGTAAACTTCATTAGTTTAATTTTTTTTTCATTTTGTTTAAATTAAATAAAAAAAAAATTTATTATTATATCTTTGATTTAATATATATAAATTAAATTTTAAATATTAAAAATCATTTTAATTATCAATCATTTTAGTTAACTAATTTTTTTATTTATTTTATTTTATTACTTATATAATTATAATAAAAATATTTATGTTTAAAAATTCTAAATAATTTTTTTTTAAAGGATTCTTTAAAAGTTTTTTTTTTTACTTATATTTTTCTTATCTTTTTTAGAAGTAGATCTTTTATTCTTCTTAGATAAAAAAATAAGTCTTCTTTGAAATTCTTAAGATATTTTTAGAAGATAAATTTTATTTTTTTTACTAATTAATCTGAAATAAAATAAAAGACTATATATATATAAAGTCTAAGATTACATAAATGTTTATCTGTCTATTCATTCATAATTAAGTTAATAATAATTAGCCTTTGTAATTACATAAAAATTTAGAAAAATAAATACTAGTAGATTATTCTAAACTTAATAATAGTTTTCATTTTCTAATTTTATTTTAATTTTTTTTAGAAGTGAATTTTCATTTTTTTTTAATTTAAAATAAGACTTCTTTAAATTTTTTAGAAATAAATTTTATCTTTTTTTACTAATTTTATAAATTTTTTTAGAAATAGATCCTTTTTTTCTTTAAATAAGAGATAAGCTTTTTTAAGTTTTTTTTTTAAGAATAGATTTCATTTTTTATTAATTTTTTTTTAAAGTATATCTTTTATAAGATTTATTTAAAAATAGATTTCATTTTTTTAGAAACAAATCTTTTATATTTTTTTTTTTATTAAGTTTTGAGATTTTTTTAAAGAATAGATTTTATTTTTTTTTTATTTTTTATTTTTTTTTAAAAGCATATCTTTTATATGCTAAATATAATTTTTAGATTAAATATATTCAGATTTAGCATTAACTCAATTTTTATCTTTTCTAACTGTTTTCCTCTTTTTTATTGCAAAGGTTTTATATTATTAAATCTTTTATAATTTATTTGTTATTCAAAAATGTCTATATTATTTATTTCAAGCTTTTTGTTATATTATTAATATAATAAAAGAATTCTACATTATCATTTAAGTTGTTTAATATTTTTATAAATTTTTCAGTATCAAATTTTTTTTTTCTAAACCAAAGCCTTTTAATTGATAGATAAATTATAAATATCATTATATATCCATATAATATAAACATCAAACTTTTTTAAAATCGTATATATAATGAGAATATCTACATTAGTATGACATAATAATTAATCATTTGATGATTATTAATAAGATTTATATTAATTCTATATTATAAACCATTAGAATTATTAAAAGAAGTATAAATATAAAAATATTGTTGAAATTTTCAATTTCATTCTTTATTAATAAAAATTTTATCTTTTACATTATTCTTTTAATATAGAATAATTAGCTCAAGAATATAATAATGTTCTTTTCAAATCTTTTTTTTATAATAATTTCTTCTTTTTTTTTAGAAATTTTGATTTTAGTAATATTTATGATTCTTGAATATGTTTTTAAATTAAGGCTGATAGATTTGAATAGAAGTCATATAGTTTTAGTAAAACAAAAAAATTTTATTATATAAACAGTATGTTAATGCACGTGTAAATACTAGGGAACGGACTGTTCTTAAGTCCAGAACGATCTTAACTAAAAAAAAATATATATTGCAAAAGCCAATTAGCATTGACTCAATTTTTGAGCGGGTGGATATCAGGACACTTTGCATAGAAATATATAGTCATTCACTTCGTTCTGGACTAATAATAAATATATACAGATGTAGAATTTCTAAATTAAGTTACAAGTCTAGATTAAAAAACCCAGTCTATATTGTTTTTTCAATCAGGAAAATATAGATCAATGACACTTTTCCATGCAGGAATTTCTTTTAGTCGATGAATGATGATAGAGTTTGGTGATGCTCATGGTCTCCAACAAAACCGTCTTTTAATTCTTGGGTCATTAAAAATTAAACAATTTTCTAAAATTCGAATAAGAGTTGAATTCGCGTGATTTATCAACCAGTATCCCAAAAATCGATCCTCATGACCATTCTATTCTGTTTGGTTATATGGAGAAGAGGCGATCATGTGGGCATGATCTACAGATAGAACCTCGAGTTCTTCAAAGATGAAGTGATCAGGACTTTCTAATTTGTAATACAAATGTTCTCGTGACAATGGTCGAAGGTTGAGAGCCAAATTTTAAAAGTGAACGAATGCATCGTCATCTGCCTTTACAACGTAATTGTATTGCATGTCAGAGTACCCAGCGCCCCACTTCCAATAAAAATATGCCTTGCCATTGTTCATGTTCTCTTCAATATCTAGCATTATAGGTCACCATAAGTGTTATTTTCGATGGTTAATAGTGATTTTAATTCGGGTATATATTCATCTTGAGGAGGTGTTCCAAGAATAAATTTGAAATCCACCTTATCTAAATTTAAACTTTGTTTCTGTTTAAAATTTAAAGTTCGTATAAAATTTCAAATTTCAAACCTATCCGCCACTGTCCATATGTTGATAAAGACACGAACTGGTGGCCAATTCCATAATTGTTAGAAAGAAATTCCTTTTTTTTCATGATAACTGTCACATTCCATCTTCTCTCAGAATGGGATTGGCCCATACTGTTTAGGTTTCGGTATTGATTTTTTTGGTATTTGTTTTAGAAGCTTTTTAAAAGTTATTGAATTTAATTGTGAAGCGTTATTTGCACCTGATATGGGTTCTTTTGAAGTTAAAACATTACTATTATCTTCTAAACTATTATATTCTAGATAAAAAAATGTAACAGTAAAAAAACATATTATTATAAGGGAGAAAATTAATGGACGATAAAAAGCCATTTTGATACTGGTAAAGAAAATTTAATGTTTGGTGATTGAATAATTTCTCATTGCAAAACTTCACATTTCGAAATTATCATTTTATACAAAATTTGTTTTCCCTATTTCATTTAGTGTCTAACCAAAAAAGTCAATTAGATATTATATTAATATTCATCCAAATAAACAAATATATGCAGTAAAATAAGGTTTATAGAGTTAGCATTCTTGCACATCCAATAAGCATATGAGTAGCACAATATTATTCTTTTAAAATTGTAGTACTTGAAAAAAAAAAAGGCTCAAACATTAAAGACTGAGTCCCTACGCAAAATTATTTTACTAGTTTCACAATATAAGATACTAAACAACAATTCCACCTACATTTTATAAAATTTACATCACAGACGTGTCGGCGCATGCTGAATTACTCTCCACACATAAAACTAAGTTCCGCAATAATTTTGAACTTTCTCAAATTATTTCATTATAAATAAGACTTTTTTTATGCTAATTGTCAATCTTCAGATAAGATACAGAAATGTTACAGTTAATTGGGTAAAATAGAACATTTATAAATAAGGTAATAAGGCAATCATTTAGTTTTTGTCATTATTTTATTTCTTATTTGAGACATCTTTTTTTTTCTTAAAAAAAGATCTATACGAATTGGAAAATAAGAAAATCATCTCATACTATCATTAAGGTTTAAAATTTTTTTTTTTAGCTTTATGTAACAATGGGTGCCTATCGCGCGTACAAATTTGTCAAAACTCCACACATGACTTAGATTTTTTATAAAAGAAAAAAAAATACAAATAAAATAAATATACGCGTGCAGTGCGCACAAAATTTAAATGCATTTCCGCACACTTCTGCAAATGTCACAATAATAAATTTATTGGTTTGAATATTGGCTGTAGATATATTTTAAGAAAAAATATCAAATTCAGTAATAATTATAAATAATTACCTTACGAAGTAGAGCCTACAGATTTGTGCATTTGCATAATTTCGCATTTATGCACTATAATTTCGCATCACACACGCGTCGCATTTTTAAGGCAATTTATCAGTTTTTTTGCATTTTTCACGTGATCTATTATGTATTGACCATTTAAAGAATAAATATTAATTGATCATCGTGATCATCTATATCTTTTTTTTTTCAAAATGATTTCAGCATATCAAAAAATTCTCAATTTAAAATTCATTTTCGTTTAGAAAATAAAAAATTATATTGTAAATTTTGTAATCATGTAGTTAATCATGAATGTAAGTCTGTTATCAAAACTCATATAAACTCATCAACTCATTTAAAAAAACAAACAACTATCCCAAATATTTATCAAATTAGATCAGAAAAACAAGAAATAAATTTACATCTTATTGAAGCATTCACTAAAGCTGATATTCCATTTGAAAAGATTGATAAACTTAAACCTTTTTTTAAATATTGTAATAATGATAAGATT